TATATATATATACCTCTTCTTTCCTATTAAAATTGGTGTATGTTTAAAGATCTCAATGGCCTCTATGTAAAAATGTGATATGGGACACACACATCCTCCCACCCCAGAACTAGGCTCATGAAACGCAGCGCTGGAAATCGGGTTTTATCAAATCATTTTCAACAACTCATTGTGCTGTTTGCCATCGCCGTAGACTGACCAGTTTTACTTGCATTAATGCATATATTTTGAACACACCTTTCATTAATTTAGGCTATTTCGACACCATGGATATGTAACCCAAAGCATGCCCACCTTTTTTGAGACACCTTATATACAGGGTGATTCAAAATTGGCGTAATTCCTCTGGAAGTGTTGTCTGGCGCTGTTATAGGAGTACAGAAAAAATAGTAAAGGAAATTAATTGTTATTAAAAACTGAGTCATTTGCAAAAATCTATATCAGAAATACGGCAGCAATGTTGTTCAAGGTAATCTGCCTAATTAACATTGCGCAAGTACCTGTGGCTTCGTAATTATTAAAAACTTCGGTAACTATGGAATTATACAGAGAGACAATAAGATAGACAAGGATAAACGGTAAATTCACCACGATTTGTTGACTGCGGAACGTACTTTCGAAATATCAACCTGTTCTCATAACCTCGAATGTTTGTAAATAAACCATACAACGCTAAACATTTGAATGATAAACTCCAAACAAGCTAGTGCCTGTGTAATCTCCTTACTATCTACTCTTAACAAGTAGCTTCTCGTATTCCTCCTCCATTTGTATCTCCTTGTGCTATGTGTATCGTACAAACGTGGTAGGAGTGGTCCTTCCTCGGTATTTATTTGGTGCTTGGGAAAGTGTCAGTTATTGTGCTCTGAGTGCCCCTGGAAGGCCCTAATTCAGTTATGTCCAATACTTGTTCCTCTGTGCCTGGAACCCGAAAATGGATTGTCGTCCACTATCTTCCTGGAACCACTCTCCTCGTCCTTTGTTGGCGGTAGTTCTTTCAGCTTCTGCTAAGTTACTGTGGTATTTCCCCTGAACTAATCGCATATCAGCAAATTCGTGAAAGGAAATTCAAAGTAAGTCACACTTTGACAAATTATTGTTATTATTGACAAGGGCTGTCCACCTGTAACTATCTGTTAATGACAAAAAACATCATTGCCGTTGTGCCCTTTCGGCAAAAAACTGTAGAAGATAACTTTTTTGATATTAAACATTTTCGTAATTTCAAGCAAAGATCGTAATTTTTCTTTTCGAATGCTTAAGTATTCCGATATGCTACTAATTAAACATGGAACAATTTCAAAATAATGCTTAATAACAAAGTTGAAATTCAATCTTCAACTGTTAATATCTTCTAGAAATTTTCGAAAAAAAA